TTTTTTTTCCTCCTTTTTCTTCCTCCGCCATTCTTTATATATTAGTTATTATATTATGTACTCTTTGTGTATCCCTTGACTGACCCTGGGGGTAGTTGATCTAATTTTGTATTTGTTTAGTAATTAATTGGTCTACTTCCTATACTGTCATGTTAATTTTCTCTGGTGACAGCTATTTAGCCTTAGCAGTCCCTCCAAAATACACTGTAGAGACGGTTTGTGGGGAGTAAATTCTCTCAGCTTTTGCTTATCTGGAAATTTGTATAATACCTCCTTGAAATTTAAATGATAATCTTTGCTGGCAGAGTATTCTTGGTTCAAGGCCCTTCTGTTTCATTGCATTAACTATATCATGCCACTCCCTTCTGGCCTGGGTTTCTGTTGAGAAGTCTGATGTTAACTTGATGGGTTTTCCTTTGTAGGTAACCTTTTTTTTCTCTCTGGCTGCTTATAATACTCTGTCCTTATCCTTGATCTTTACCTTTTTAATTATTATATATCTTGGTGTCATCTTCCTTGGGTCCCTTGTGTTGGGAGATCTGTGCACCTCCATGGCCTTAGAAACTATCTCCTTCCCTAGATTGGTGAAATTTTCAGTAATTACCTCCTCAAAGACACTTTCTATCCCTTTCTCTCTCTTCTTCTGGTCTCCCTATAATGCGAATATTGTTCTATTTGGGTTGGTCACACAGTCCTCTTAATATTTTTTCATTCCTAAAGATCCTTTTTTCTCTCTGTGCCACAGCTTCTTTGTATTCCTGTTCTCTAATATCTATGTCATTTACCATCTCCTCTACTTCATCCAATCTGCTTTTAAATCCCTCCATTGTATGTTTCATTTCAGATACTATATTTTTCAAAGTTTCTATCTCTTTCTTGAATTCCTCCCTGAGGTCTTGAATATTTTTCTGCAGCTGGGTGAGCATGTTTATGATTTTTATTTTGAAATCTTTTTCAGGAAAATTGGTGTGTTTAGTTTCACTTGGTCCTCTTTCTGGTGTTTGTGGGATTTTGGTTTGTACAAGGTTCTTTTGATATTTCGCATTTGTAATAATAACTTGGTGTAGGCAGCACCCTCTAGTGACAGAAGTTCTACTCTCTGGAGCTGCTCAGACCCTGGAGCGATGTCGGGGGTTGCAAGCAAGTGGCACTAGTGCCTGCCAGGAGGAAAGAGCTCTTTCCTGCTTCCTGGCTGCAGGGTCTGCCTCCACTGCTAGAGCCAGTGGACCAAGTGTGCAGGGAGGAACCCTTATGCTATGCCCTTGTAGCTGTCATAGGTGGGCCTGCCCTCCATCTTGCCTGGTGCAATGGCAGGAAGCAGGTTTGCAAGCCGGTGCCAGCTGGGAGAAAGGAGCAGCATGCTGCATATCATTGTGGGGGGCCTCAGAGCTGCATTGCCAGCCAGGGGGATGGAGTGCCTGAAGCTCCTGAAAGTTCCCAACCTGCTGGGCTGAGAGTGCCAGGACAATTTTGTCCACCTGTCCTTTCTCCTGAGCAGCAAGCTCTGTGCAACCCTTGCCCTTTTAGCAGCCCTCTCACTGTTAGGAAGTCTCTCAGAGTGCCTGCCTTTCTTATGTCCCAGAGTGGCTGGTTTTGGGTACCTGTTCTTCACAAGTGCTGGAATCTCAGTCTCTCCAAGTATTCTGCCTGTCTTTTAGTTTTCCAACCACACTAATCTCCAGAGCAGCATGTAATGTAGGTTTGTGCTCCCAGAGCAGAACTCCAGGGTTGGGTGTTCAGCAGTCCTAGGCTTCCACTCCCTCCCCACTCCATTTCTCTTCCTCCTGCTAGTGAGCTGGGGTGGGGAAAGGGCTTGGGTTCCGCCGGATCACAGCTTTGGTACTTTACCCTTTTCTGTGAGGTCTCTTTTCCCCAGATGTAGGCAGTCTGTTGCTGCCTTCTTTCCTGTTGCTCTTTCAGGATTAGTTGTATTTGCTACATCTTCATATTAGATGTGGTTTTGGAAGGAGGTTTATGTCTCACCTCTCACGCCGCCATCTTTAAGCCAGTCTCTTCCAGAGCTTCATTTCATCAGGACAAGTCAAGAAGCTACTGATGTATTTGTTTCTTATTTGTCTTTTATTTACTGTTTTGTTCATTGGTTTATTCAGTCACTGATTTATTAACATCCTTTTCCCTGCTTTGTTACAAAATGGATTTAAAATGAAACCAATTTATCCCAAAAGATGACATTTTTAACTTAATTCACTTCTATCATCAACCACATTGCATAATTTAATTCAACAAATAATTATTAAATGCCAAGTCTAATAATGGTGAGACAACATCAGTGAAAAGAAAATGGGTCCTCCCAAGAGTACTTTCTAGTCTAGGTGCAGCTGTGGACCAATAAACAGACAATTACAATATAACTGCACATCAGTTGTCTGTCCAGTGATCATGGCTAAATATCTGTCAGTCAAAAGCACCATAAAAATTACTTCCCATAACTGTTTATATTTTGTGTACTCTAATGACATCTCACTAATTGTCACATTATCCCTCAACAACCAAAAATTCCTCCCCAGATTAAGGCTGATGCAGCAGCTGCTCCTGTCCCCACTCCCCCAACTCCAGCCTTTCCTTCCAACAGCCTCTGTTCTCACCCAGGCCAGGGTGCTGAGGCAGAGCTCTCCCCTTATAAATGTGAGAACTTACAAACATATTGATGAGAATGAACATGAAAACAATCAGTAGACCATTGTAAATGCAACCTGCACATTACAAGTAAGTGTGGAAAAGCAGCTAAATTTGCAGAGATTTAATTTCAGGTCTAGTTCTGTTTAGCTCACCTCATCAAGCTTACTTCAGAACCCAATTTTAATAAACTCTTACAGGAGTCCTAGCTCCAGGACCCCTGCAGGAGCCACTCCTCCCCCAGCCCAGGGTCCTCTGTGCCTAGGGTTCTCCAGGTGACAGTCCTTTGTTTTGCCTGCCTCCACTCAGAGTACAAGCCAGGGTTTCTCCCTCACCAAGGAGCTGCTGGTGATTCAGGCCCTTCTCTGGGTTTACTCAGAAAAAGACCTTGTTCCTTGACCTTCCATACTTCGTGAAAGAGCTAAACCCAAGCCAAGCACATAGCAGTCCTCTCCAGAGAACTACGGAAAATTCATGTGACCTCCCAGAGCCAGAGTTTCCTTCCAGGGAAACTGGGATTCAGCTGACTGCCTGCCTTCCTCCCTGTCCGGTTGTGAGGCTCAGAGCCTGCTGAAGAGGAAGTACAGCCCTGTGTACAGAGAGATGGGGGCTCTGCTAGCTCACCCACTCTCTGCCAGGATGCCTGCTTCCCTTTTCTCTGTGTTCACCCACGTCCTGGAGGCTCCACTGTGATCACAGTAAGTCAGGCTACTCTGCAGAGGGCCACAGCCACATATGCTTGTTTTTTGTTTTTGTTTGGTCTTGTTCTGTGTGAAACGACCCTGACACTTTCTCTTCCCACTTATTGCAAGCATCCCAGATATTTTAAATGGAATATTTGGTGCCCTCAACCTAGATTACAATCAGAAGAATAGAAACAAACTTCTATAAATCTACATAAGAATGAAGCCAATCTCAGTTGCTGGGGTCAGGACTGAAACCCCATGATCTCCCAGTTGCAACTGACACTTGAGATCACCCAGGCCAAGTCATCTACTTAACCAATAAAGAAACGGAGGCCTGACCTCTGGCTACAGGTCACTCCACAAGTTACTGAAAAACAAGATCCAGGAATCACAATCTAATCTTCCCAGTCAGAGACTGATGGTAATGACCAGGATTGTACCTTAAGATTAAAACTTCTTCTGTATGTATTTGCCTTTTTCTCTCATTGACTCTAATCAGAATGTCACATTTGGCAAATGAGGGAAATGAGGTCAAAGAAAGATAAATCACTTGTTCTAGTCTATCACCAAGTTAGTGTCTGGGTTGTAACTGGAATCCTTGGACCAAAGTTTCCTAATACCTGTATCAACAGTAAATGGAAGGCTTGCTGGACTCTGGGGAAACACTGCTCTGGGCTACTTAAGGAACCCGGTGATTTCTGAGAAAGCCCTGGCATGTCAGATGTTACCACTGTTACACATCTTAGTTTGAAGTGAAGAAAGGCCTCTCTGGGCTGAGCTGAGGGCCAATCTACTCTTTAACATGATGGAAGGATCTAGCACAGCAATTCTCAAGGTGTGGTCCCTGGACAAGCAGCATCAGCACCAGCTTGGAATTTTTAGAAATGCAAATTTCCCAACTTCACCCCAGACCAACTGGATCAGATACCTTGGGAGTGGGGCCCACAATCTGTGTTTTAACAAAGCTTTTGGGGGGATCTGACACATGTTCAAGTTTGAGGACATCTACTCTAGAGCAGTGTTTGCAAATTTTGGGATCACTGCCCTCAGGATCTCCATAAGCAGCTTCTGAAATTGGTGATTTGGAGCTGCAAGAAAATGAAACAAGCAAGGTTTACTCCTTCAATCCAGCTTTTCCCAAAGTGGTCTAATCTTACATATTATTAGGGACTTCTTGAAAAGACCAGTGTCCTGGTCCCTGCCCTGGGGGGATTCAGAATCAGAGTAGGAGAAAGTAGCTGAACCAGCAGGGGTCAGATGCAGACACAACCTCTTGGGAGGTGTGACCCACTCATGCAAACACACTTGAGAATTGCTGCCAGGGGTTGGCTGGGGGTGGGTGGGGGGTAGCTGTCTCACCTGAGGGTCTCAGCCCCAGGCAAATTCACTCTGGATTAGGTGAGACCTAAAAGTGACAATGGATCAGTCTTGGGGTAAAAGGGTTTATACTCAGCTTATCCTCATGGTGGCAGGCCAAGCACTAGAGTCCCATCTGCCTCAGGGCAAGTCTGCAGGTGGCAAGCCAGTCTCTACCTCTGGGCCTCTCCGCAGCCTTGCAGCCCCAGAGCACTGGGTGGAGCTCTTACGTAGAGTCAATAATAATGTATTACCCACACATGGGCAAGCCTACATCTGCGAGCACTCTGGTGCACAGTAGGCAAGCCAGTCAGGGTCAGGGGAGAATCCATTTACTCTACAGGGGCTCCATCAACCACTGGCTTACTTGTAATACCCACTTCAGCCCAACACCATCAACATCTAAGAGGGACTCTCTTGCTGGTCTTTCATCAGCAAATAAGTATGTTCTGTGTTTTTTAAGCCCAAGAGAGCACAAAATTTAAAATACAAATTCTGTCTCTGATTGTTTCTTAAGGTTAATTATGGATGGATCAGACAAGGAGCAGCCTCTAGAGACCCCTGAAAACAAAGTGTGCAGTCAGCATGGACAGAGGACTGTCAACCAACTGAGGAAGAAGGAGACTAACTGGGACAGGGCAAGAAGGTAAGGTGGGAGTAGGGCGGAGAAGCTGAGATCCCGTGGAAAATTGATAAGGGAGGATGCAGGCCCATTAGACTCAGGGGAGGGAGCTCAGCTTGGTGGTTAAACACCGACGTGGAATTTTGAGACTGCTTAGCTGAAGCCATAACTCTGTGCCTTTCTAACAGGCAGATGACTCCACCTTTTTGAGCCTCAGTTCCCCCATCGAAAAGTAGGACAATAATAGTCCCTCTCTTGAAGAGTCACAAGTAGCTAATGCAGTGAGGTGTAGGTGTTTTACCTCGGCAGCGGGTACAGTCACGCCAGTAGCCAGCAGCACCCAGTGAGTGGGGACCACTGTGACTGTAAACACCTCCTTTTGGCAGAAGTTATTCAACATAATATCTACTTTATCATCCTTTAGTCAACAGAAAGCCTGTACTCTTGTAGACCATTTCTATGATGAGAAATCCTATTTCTGACTTACTTTAAAACCAGGCACCACACATCAATAAACAACATTTCTACAACTCTTCATGTCTCATTGATGAATGAGAGACAGATCAGCAAGGAACTTACTCCTGAGGTGGTGAGGCCCAGCAGCCCTGGTGGGCACAGTGGGTACCCATGCCTCCCCTTTGGCTCAGTTAAAACTCGGCAAGACTTAATCCCAGGTGCACTTTCTGCTTGCAGCCCTCAGCTATACTAAGTGAGTTCCTCCTAAGAGTTCTCTCCATCCCCCTTATTCTTAAGGCTGGTTCCCTTTTCCCCATGTCAACTTACTACTCCAGGAAAAACAAGGTAAACTGATTAGATAAGAGAGAAGATTGACAAGGATTTTATTTTCTCTGGGAGACTCCTGAAATGTGGCAGGTCGGTGCTCTGACCTAGAATGGGTAATAGACTATTATCTGGTTAATGGGTTACTCTCCACCAGTGGTTCTCAAACTGGAGCACCCATCACAATCCCGTTCTAATATCAATTGCTAGCCCCTCACCCCAAGAATGTTGAATTCAGTAGGTCTCAGGTGGGGCCTGAGAATTTGCCTCTCTCACAAGTTCCTGGGTAATGGTGACGCTGCTGGTTCCTGGACCACACTCTGAAGACTACTCTACATTTTGGAGAAGGAAACCATGACTTACCAGAGCTATATGTTACCACAGAAAAGTCAAATTGAAATTTACTCTTCCTCAATAGTTAATTGTAATGGGGGCTGGAAGGAAGCATAAATAATATCACTAAACAGACATTAGACACCTGATTATAGTCCTGGTCCTCATCACCAGTGCACAGGATTCAGCTTATTGCTTATGAGCATGACGGTCATCTAATAATTTTGTTTTTAATTTGCAGAGAACTTTGGTATCTAATATAATATGAGGGTACTTGTCATAAGAAAGAAACAAATCCTAACATTTTCAACAACATAGATGGAGCTGGAGGACATTATGCTCAGTGAAATAAGCCAGGCGGAGAAAGACAAGTGCCAAATGACTTCCCTCATTTGTGAAGTATAACAATGAAGCAAAACTGAAGGAACAAAATGGCAGCAGACTCACAGACTCCAAGAAGGAACTAGTGGTTACCAAAGGGAAGGGGTGGGGAGGGTGGGTGGGGAGGGAGAAGGAGACTGAGGGGTATTATGTTTAGTACACATGGTGTGGGTGATCACGGGGAGAACAGTGTAGCACAGAGAAGGCACATAGTGGATCTGTGGCATCTTGCTGCACTGATGGACAGTGACTGCATTGGGGTATGGGTGGGGACTTGATAATATAGGTAAATGTAGTAACCACATTGTTTTTTCATGTGAAACCTTCATAAGAGTGTATATCAATAATACCTTAATAAAAAATTTAAATATATATATATATATATATGATAAA